TGAGTCTCACAGGTTCCAGAACAAAGTTTCACAGGCGAACTCCTGTTTTGTCACCAACTGGATTTTGTGTTTACAAATCGACAACTGGATCGTGACTGGACAAGTTGCAAAACCTCTCTATTGATGAGTTCATGTCCATTATGGACATTTTACTTCAATGCAACATCATTCGACCTAGACCAGAGTGATCATTGCTCTCGTCCAACAACTCATTCAATAGATTGCTCGATAATGCGACGGCGATGCACAAGTACCGTTTCACCATACCGCAATTGGAAACCCTTTGCAACCTTTTCGGCCTCCCCGAGTGGATAACAACAGAGTGGTCCGATCGAATTGAGTCGCTTGAGGCACTCGCATTGACTTGCCGCCGCCATGCTGAACCATCACGACTATTCACAGTGGCAAATGAGTTTGGGCGTTCTGTCGAGGCGTGCAGTCGTGTGATATTGACAACTGTTCGCTTACTACATTCCAAGTTCGCGGACCGCTTGTACTTCGACGATGCTTTGATGACGCGGCGCTCAGGTATTTGTTTGTACAAGGAATTTTGAAGCGTACGTATACAAATTCTAAATGATACATTGGCTTTATGCCCTATTTAGAAATGAATTACATTAAAATTACACAGTTGACCAACACTCAGCGTGAACTTCATTGTATGTTTCCTCAACTTGAGCAAATTGACATAAATAACCTACATTGTCCTGGTTTAACTTGTGATATACCCTACATAAACAGTGCTGTAAGGATTCTTGACTTCTATTTCGGGATAAATGTGAGTGATGATCGAAGTAATATTTTTATTCAATACGTTTAGCGATTGCGCTGATCAATTTCATCATCATGAGCTGATTAGCGTGGTGTTGTTCGGCACGAATGGCAGCTTGTTCGCGATCAAACTCTAATCTTGCTGCTGATTGCTCAGTAATGAGCTCTTCTCGGCGGTGCTTGTCATCAATTCCTGCTTGAATTGCATGAATGAGGTTGTTCATGTCAATCGATGGTGCAGTAGCTTTACGTTTCTTCCGTTTTTGTGTGCCAGCCTCTTCTTGGCTGCTGCGTTCAAGCTCTCCCAACGTCATTTTCCGCAACAATGTACCCGAATTTTCGATCCCTTCCAGTTTTCCTCGGCATACATCTTGTCGAATTGTTTCAGAGGCCTTGAAGTCGTCCATACGCGTCTTGATATCCTGCAGCAAATGCTCTCGCTCCTCGTACTCTTCTGCTGTACCCGACTTCCGCAACGACGCGCTTTCACCTCACACAAACCGAGACATGAGAACGTCAAACCTTGTCTTCATCGCGGGGCCCTTTTTCTTTAGACCAAAAGTTGCAGACTGTCCAAGCGCATCAGCGATGGCGGACCAACTGCTTGCCGTGGTCGGCCTCCCAGGGACTCGCGAAAGTGATCTGCAGCAGTAGCTTGATGTCATGATGGCATGCAAATTTGCGGTTCCCACTGGTCTCGTCAGGATGGAGCTCCGCAATGTCTGGTGTGCAGATGGGTGGTGTTGACATGACTTTGCCAACTGAATGGTTGTGTATACTGGTGTGACATGACTTTGCCAACTTAATGGCTGTGTGTGCTGGTGTGATATCCGTACCATAGTCTGGTTCTTGAATCTAAACCTTGAGTTCCAAACCTTGAGATTGGGGCCACCAATCTCAGTCGACGCATAGATTGGCACAAAGTTGGAGAATGGATTTGTAGAGAATTACAGATTTCACCCGCATTAGGAGACAATTGCACGAAATTATCTTTCAGGGGTATTTTGTCATGACAAGTACTTAGTTACGAGGTGGCGTGTTGATACCTGATTGGCTGGGAAGAAACATATGTTTATGTATGCATTTTTGTGCTCCAGAAGGCAGAACACTCACCTCACACAACATATACATCCCATTACAAGTTAGCCATCTTGCTCGTGAACTCATACACATCATTGTCTAATATTCCTGTGTGGCGCCAACAATTTGCGATTGTCCTCTGAGACATGGCTTGCCATCATGCCTCCTTGGCCCACTGGAGTGCATCGAAAAGACTGACTTCATGCAGCTTCTTGGCATGAGACGAAAAGTTCTCCTTGTCTGCTTCGTCGAAAGTATCATTAGGCTTTAATCCACCGTGTGATTGTTGTTGATAAGGCACGTGGTTGAGACTGAATGTATGGTAGGCCCACATGCGTAGCTGCAACCCATTTAATTCTGGATTAGCAGTACGATGCTCAATCAATCTTCGCTTCTGCTCAATTGTTAGCCGCTGCCTTGATGACAGCGATGTCATATGACCAATGTTATGGTCAACATGTGTTCCATCAATGTTGCTTTGAATTTCAAATTACCACTCTGAATTTATATTCTTCTACCGGTAAGCTCCAGGACTATGCATTTTTTAGGGATATTGAATTATGGTGGGTCTCCAAATGCGGGGGAAACCTGTACCGTGAAATATTCAATTTCATAGGCAAAATCCAATGATATGTCGAAATTTTGGTGTACCGAAAAACTCTCTATTGTTCCTTCATTCGGACGCAAGCTCCTCCCTTCGAACAAGTTGCGGTGACTGCACGCGGCATGTTGGCGGCTGGGCTACGTCAAGAGAGGGGTCCTTGACGTGATCAGCTGGACATCACTAGTGGTGACAGAGAACTCCTTCGTCTGCCGTAGGACTGTACTCAACTTTCCAACAAGAAGACCACTCACACAGCTTCGCGTCCACCCCTTCGCCACCACATTATCTGTTCGTCAGATCAAGATCGTTTAAAAGTGATGCGACACCTCGTTGCTGCAAGGAATCGAGGAGGTCAAGAACTGTAACATTCAGCTCAATTGTGTTCGTCACCGAGATCTGGCCCGGGGGGGCGGCATTAACTCAAAACATGCAGGAACGGATCGTACGGCCGACAATGTTAAAGGATTCAAGTGCGGCGCTTAGTTCGGCAGCAACCACGGTCGACTTACGGGAGTTCAACGATGGTGGGCGCAATGGTAGAATGTGCAACCGACGCGAAACGCAAACGGTTTCATGGGTGTAACTGCCGAATCAATCAGGAGTGCGAGAATGGCGAAAGTCCACACCACGGTCGTGCCAGCCCGTCAGGCGTACCCCACGCGATTCAATCGCCTTTCACTCGTGTATAGCACGGTGTTCACGTTGAAGCTAGTCATCACCGTAAGTTGTTTGCCTGGCACTTGCTCGTGAAGTTGACCCCCACTCCAGCCATTTCTAGCGTACTTGACAGAGCCTTTTCCATGGACCATTCCACCTATGATACACCCTGCATGGAATGCTACGTCAAAGGCGGAAGCAAGTCGATTGACGGCGGTCTACCTCCAGTCGATATACAACAACCAAACTATGCTACCGACCACGGTGTGCTACCGCGACGTCACGACAAACTCCAACATGTTGAGGCTCCTGCGCCCCGTTCCACCGTCCGCGTCAGAGTGCATGCAATACTTGATGTGTCTCCCAGGTCCGTAGGCTCAAAGCTTGTTACTTGTTAAATTTGTGGTGCCAGGGGCTGGGCTTTATACAGAAGGCATGCGTGAGTTGGTGTGCAGTTTTCTCTCGGAATCCGAACAAGGCCGGGCGCGCATGTCATGGCAGCATTGCGATCACGTTCTCATGGCGGGGCTGCCAATGGGGGACTATTGTCTCTGGTTTGAAGCTACGGGCAAACCGACCGACTTCATGGTGTACCATGCCTTGCTTATTTGGGAAGACCCAGTGTTGAGCTGGTGCAAACTCGTGTATCGATGCGTCCTTGCCACGTATATCGTGCGCGTGCTGTGGCGACGCTATTACAGCCACTATCATGTCTTGCTACGAAACCTGGAAACCCTCGGGTGGGCTAACGCCGACCGAGGAGGGACGGCGCCGTCCTTTTCCGCATTTGAAGTCATCGTGGGTGACCCTACCTACATGGTGCTTAGCGATCCGTTCGTGTCGATAGCCATGATGACTGATATTTGGATGGGGCTGCCGTACCTGGCTATTGCGACCGAGCGCACGAGCCAGATCACTGACGTTTGGAATTTTGTTCTTGGATGCATGTACAGCGCCCGCTATGTAAGATGGCGAGGGGGCGTCTCGAATCTAACACATGTCGTAGGTGTGGGCCGGGTACCTGATGATGTGGATCGTGTCCAAGGTAGTCCAGCGCCATGGATGGGAGCGGTCGTTCCAGCCCGTCGAGCCGGCGCATATGGCGATGCTCGCGTACATGTACGGCGGTCCGTTGGTGCTCCTCATGAACAACTCGGCTTTGATGGTTCCCATTCACGCGTTGATTGACCTGTCAGTTCATGACCGCGAAGGCATGTTTGACGCGATACCAGGTACCTTCATCCGCTTGTGATCGTTGTGCGGAAAGTCAAGGCAATTTCTCGTCTGTTCAGGCTGTATATACTGGACGACAATCATGGCAGTTGTCCCGGTGGTCACGTCAACGAGCTGGAAGCTCTGGCGCCGCTGTCGACGCGTCAGGGGGACCGCCCATGACTTGCAAGCAACTAGTTTGTGCAGGCGGCGTTACTGCCCGCGACTGTACAACGACTGGAAGTCTCGATGTGTCCTCGCGGTGGCCTTGCGCAGGGTGCCACGGACGGTTCGCGTAGAGGGCGGGAGGTTGTATTCGTTCCTCGAGCACCAGCCACGCTTTCGCCGCATGCCATTGTTCAGCCATCGCGGCGCCGATAGCATCGTTCTTGCGTTTGTGGCCGACAGAACTGTAGCACGCCAATTCCGCCTGACTTTTCGGGGCTGTCTCGCGCTGGATGGATCGACTGCCGTCGACGTCGAGGGTATCACCGCCTGCGCCACCGCAGTACCAGCTACGTTTTGCACGCTCAGCAGCGTCAAGTGTCCGTCATGTCCACCCACGCCGTTTGAAGGACCACATCGGTTGTACCTTCACAAGGGAGCTAACGATTGCCAATGGATGCTCTATCCCGACGGCAATGCACCCCGAGAAGTAGCACAAGAATGACGAGATGCATCCTGATACAACGGGAAAAGGTCGATTGTATCGATAGAGCGCTGTGCAAAGGATGCACAAACAGGTAGGAGTCGTCAATTTGCTCGTCCATGCAAACGAGTCTTTCCCCGGACAATCCAACTCCACCGAAGCTGCTGCCACTGCGACCTTCATCTGCGGCGATTCTGGCGCTGTGCTCAATGCATTGCCGAACGATGCGTACCGAAAACCACCGTCTTTGATTTATGTTTGTGCAATAGCCCTCCTCGTCGCACAACTCTATGCACTTTCAAGGGCCACGACATTGTGGCGCCGTCCTTCTAGAACAGGCGATGCTTGGACTCCGCGGCGACGGCAGTGCACCTTCTGCCAGCCACTCATTTACGAGGGCGGACAAACGCACGCAGTGATCGAGACGACTGGCAAGCACACGTGGTTGGGGTCATGATGTATAAGTTAAAACATTTCGTCTTCTACACGGAGGTACTCGCCAATGTCGGCCTGGTGCAACACGACGTAGTCGGTGGGGGCCAAGTCTTTGCACAGTTCCGTGGCTTGGGCGACGACGCCAAACCCCAACGGCACGTCGTTCATCGAGTACACGACGACTCCAGCGTACTGTGGCGTGCCTTCCGTGATACGGCCGAGACCCGACTTGACCACGTTATTCCCGTACAGGAACGACATCTCCGAGTTGGGCTTGATCCAGACCTTGTACTTGGCGTACTGGGACAAATGGTCGAGGAACGTGATGCGCAGGTGAAACTTTTTCGACTTGGTGAGCTTGCCGACGGCTGTGCCGAGGGACAAGAGCTGTTCTGTGCCGATGTTGGTTGCTTGTCGCATCAACTTTTCGCTCACGTAGTACACGATGTCTCCGTGCAAGCGAAAGCAAAACTTTTCGTCGGGGCGGACAACCAAGTGCTGCACGTTGCGGCCGATGCTACACAAGGTGCGGTGAGAGGTCGACGGCGGACACGAGCGGCAAGAGCTATGAAGCGCACGTACTACTTGCTGATCTTCTCAAAGACAGTCTTCATCTCTTCATCCGTCAAGGGCCTCATCCGCGCCGTTCGTCAAAAATCGACTTTTCGCTTCAATGTCGCTGCTGCACCCAGCGCGTCCAATCACCACCAAAGGAATCGTAAAACGCGTTTTATCCAAACCTGTGTTTAAACAACTTCCTATCGGAATGGTCAACGTGGGGAGGGATGCCGTCACTTGGCAACGTAGCCCCAGTCCAAAGGCGTGTAGTAAGCACAAACGAATCAATTCGACGTGATCAATCCATGCGGGTCGACTTTCGCGAAGAAGTTCGTCGCTGGTGCACCGACAATATGGATTCGTGTCTGTCACGTTGGCATAAATGCATGGCCATCGCAGTCGGCCGTGTTGGAAGGAGTTGGGTTGGAGGGACGCATGTTACGCTTCGTGTGGAAGGTGGAGCCCTGGTGCTTGGAACGATGCGTGCCTTGCCAAAGGCATACGATGAAATTAAAACACTTTTCTCATCGTAGGTTTTACCGTTTTGACCAATCGCAGCGACTTGCACGCCATCGATTGGTCGAGACACGGGACGGGAATTGGCTGGTGTTTGGGGGCTTTGGCGATATTTGTTTTGAGGGGTATTATGGATTTCGAGAGGAAATCGCGGCACGCGGCGATGTTACTTTTGCATTCACCCCGCACAGAAGAAGGAAGATGAGCTCGGAAGGAAAGATTCAATCGGTCCAAACGTTTGGCCGCAAGAAGAACGCGACCGCCGTCGCCTACTGCAAAAACGGCCGCGGTTTGATCAAGGTGAACGGGTGCCCCATTGAATTGGTCGAACCCGAAGTGTTGCGCACCAAGACGTATGAACCCATCCTCTTGTTGGGCCAACAACGCTTTGCCAACGTACGTTGAAACGAACCCACCCCGACACGGTGCTCCATCGTCCCTCTGTTCATTCCTCGGTGTGCGTGGCCATGGAATCCATGGCCACGCTGTGTGGATCCATATCTTGCAGAGTGCGATCCCCACTCGCATTGACGCACGTCGACGCTTGTGGGGCATTGCTGTAACTTGTTATGGAACACACAAACGCCCACTGTCGATCGCTCCATTCATGGAGTCTCGGCAGTGAGGCTGCTGTTGTGTGGACAAGAGAAGATTGGATTGGGAATTGCATGGACATGACACCATTGTTGTCGACTCTAGGTGGACATCCGTATCCGCGTCAAGGGCGGTGGTCACACCGCGCAAATCTACGCGATCCGTCAAGCGATTGCCAAGTCGTTGGTTGCTTACCACCAAAAGTGTACGCTTGGCACGTTGCCTCCGCATGACCTGACTCGAGATGTTCCTCTTTTAGACGTTGACGAAGCGTCCAAGAACGAAATCAAGAACATCTTGCTGTCCTACGACCGCACCTTGTTGGTGGCCGACCCTCGCCGCTGCGAAGCCAAGAAGTTCGGTGGTCCCAGCGCCCGTGCTCGCTTCCAAAAGTCGTACCGTTAAGCGCCTTATGGTGGCCTTTGGTCGTTTCTTTTATAATCTGTTAGAAAGGAAATGCAAAAATGGGGGGTTCTAATGCCACGTCCTCTTGTGTTTGGGCATGCAATGGGTCGCTGTATTCCCTCAAGTAAACGCACCTTCCTCGATCGAAGAGATGGTGGCGCTCTCGCTGAACGCGGCAACTGGCGCCGCGATCCATCTCTACACGCTGTCCAGGATTTCAGGATGTGTATCTCGGTGTAGTGCAGTGGCCGGTCGCAGTGCATCGGAACGATCGACCTGACGACAGCGACACGCTAGAGTGTTCAAGCGAAATCCCGTGCGCGGGCAATTCCAACTGCCAAGCTGTGCTCATGAAAGTGTCGGTGCCGACAGGAATAAGCACCAGTTGAGTGCACCGAGTTAGTTACTTCGACGTTGTCTAGACCCATGGCCGTACAGATGTTGTCGGTGGTGCGGTCCTTTTCGTCGTTTTTTTCGCTTGTGGGGTTGGCATGCGCTGGTGGCGACGGGTCAATTCCTTGGATGGATGCACGACCACGTGCAACGGATGCTTGTCGTCTTTGTGGCCGCGTTGTTTGCGCATCGAGTGAAGCTTTGCCCGCACCGCGGAACCATCCACGGTCGTTGAGATCACGGGCGCGTGCGACGGATCGTTGGAGCGTTCGCGTTTTTGAATGACTACCTTGACGTGGCCTTCCATGGGACGGCGCGGCTCATCGGGTTCGCCACCTTCCTGCCTCGATGCGAAAGACAGAGATGGGGACACCGTCGATTGTGTCGACGGTAGCCGCAAATTGCACTGGCCTCGCAATCGATGTTCGTTCTACACAAGGCTCTTCACACCGTTGTCTTTTCCGCGTCACGGGGGGAAAGCGAGCGGTAAAACGCCATCAACACCAGTCCACCGAACGACAACACCACGCAACACAACCCCGATGGTACACACCAGCCGGAGCGAATTGTTCTGGATGCCACAGAGGACGCCACCATGGCAACGCCGTAACCCACACACCACGAGATATATGCTACCTGAATGAGCATGCAATCGTCGACGTACCACAAAGTTCTGTAGATCGGCTTCGCGGACGCATTGACGGGCGCAAAGCTCCTTGAGCTCAATGTACTTGCTGTGTGTGTGGCGGTACTCCTTGTCGACGAGTGCGAGGCGGCGCTTGAGCATGGCAATGACAGTCGCGTTGGCATCTTTCGTCGGCGATGGCGGCGGAGTAGAAGATGGAGTGGCGCGATCGGGAAGCGTTGGGAAGTCGAGAAGCAAGGAATCGAGGGACGACAACGACGACTTGCGACACCTGCACGAGCATCACATGAGGGAAAAGCTGGTCGCAAGCACCACACGAACGTGAAAGGCAACTGGGCGTGGAAGCCAACGAAGGTAGACGAGTCAAACGCGTCAATAGAGTCGGTCACCGCAACGCGATCGAGTGGCAAGACACTCGAAATACCTCCACCACATGCATCATTCCGCAGGAAACGTCCCCGTCATGGGTACAAAAACGGCTGCATCCTTGATACGAACCAGGCATCTGCCATCTCTTTCCACGCCCGGATCGCATCCAGGACGGTATCCATCGACGATGATTGTGTAGCTGCGGTTGAAGTTGACGTAGCGATGTTTGTGCCAGTAGCCTCGTAATTTGTCGCCACGTCGTGCCGACTAAAACTTTGTGACGGAGCCTTGAATCAGGATGAGTAAGGCTTTGAAGGTGTCGTTGGTGTCCAAGTAGAGATTCGTATCCAGATCAACAAAACACGAAATGAACCGTCATCGCGAATGCAATTGGAGGCCACCATACCTCAGAGTCGATTCGAGTGTCTGCCGGTTGCATGGGAGTCGCCATTGGCGCAGGCGGAGTCTAGTCCAGCGCGTGGTCGATCAGCTTCCACGTACCCGACGTCGAGGCTTGCCAAGAATTCTTACCTGCGTGGAAGATGTAACAAGGTTCAGCTTTGGCCTTGCTGGGGATACTGGCGGTGGTGCGTGCGCAAGAATTTTCGCCATATCGGATTTGTGGATCTCTGCTTCATGCGTGAGCCTGTCGACTTCGTTGGTCTTTTCTGCCAACTCGACTACGACAGTTGCGTGCCGGGCGTTCGCTGCTGCAAGACTCGCTTCGAGATCGCGCGTCGTCGCGTCATGGCGAGAGATGGTGCTTTCCATCGACTTGACCTTCGACTGCAATGACGCAAACCGTGTCTGAAGGTCGTGCACCTTATCCTGTTCGTCGAGGAGCAGTCTCATTTTGTCCAACGAACGTTTCTTCTCGTTCTGGAGCAATGCCTCCAGCTCCAAGATACGTTGCTGATACGTATTATGGCCAGGAGGTGTCGCTGTGTCCACAAATTGGGCGCGATTACGGGTGTACTTTTTTTGGTTGTGTGACGCCGGCGAGGACAAGGCCTGTTCCCTCAGAGACATAGTTGAAGCTGTCGTCGATGGAGGCCTTGGGAAATTTGAGTTGTCATATCTTGCGGAAGGCGAAAGCATATCGATCTGCATCATCGCTGGTGGCATCACTGCATTTGTCGTATGGCTCGGCTTGGCCAAGATTTCACCCGATGGAAGGTACAAGAACTCGACACTGGTCGGATGCTGGTCCGCGGGGCTGTTGATTACGTCCACCACCGAATCGACGAGAATGTCTCTTGAGGGATTGTAGTTCTGCGCTCCTGTTTCATGGTATGTGCTCTGGCTGGCGCTGCTCCGTCTGGACTGGTACCTCTCAGACATGTCGGCAAATTTTGGTCTCGCGGCAGAAGGATATCCGGATAATTCAAATTTGTTCCCATTATCCGTACAATTCCCAAAGATCGCAATTCTGCACCATCACCATAACGAGCGCCCGCTTCCTACCAAATGCAGCAGAGAAAAGGGCTAGCTAGCGGCCACCGAAAGCACCTCATGGTCACGATGCATATTGCGCCGATGCACGGAAGATCCAAGCGGTACATCTGGTGTCCTTTGGGCTATTGAGGATTACTCATCCCGAGGCACTCTTTCTCCCAGCACTTGAAAGTTCCCTCCACGGGGAGGCTCCATAATAGCACTGGAGACAATATGTTCGAGTTGTAATTTCCATGACGCCGTAGCAGTTGATAACAGCCCTGGGAAGGTGCGGAAATGCTCTCACCCAAGGCACAATGTGTCGCCCAGACTACGCAGCTAGCGAATAGGCCTCTGTCATCCATGGACATAGAGCAACGAGACTGCCCACGAATGCTATCGTTTGTCAAGGCTTTCTGCTGCGAGAGTGCACAAGGTATCGAAAGTACCGACAGGCGAGCTGATAGACATTGAAGGTCACCAAAGTCTACAGGCCGGATAAATTATCCGGAATCCGCGGATGACATAAAGTTTGAGCTCGGTGTTGCGGTGCAGACTTGATTGGAGACTTGTCGTGGTGGTCATGTTTGTGGCCAAGCGGCTAGCCGCCAGCTCCATCGCATCCTTTCGCATTAGTGCCAAGCGAGTGCCGTTGACGTTTTCTGGTCGCCGCGTGCAACCTGTCTCCACCACGGGCGCTTCCGTCCCGCCACAAACGCCAGCTGCTGCCGCTGCTTCGATTGATGCGTTGAGCCCACGGGAAGGTCTGCCACGTTGGCCAGGTTTGACAACGTCGACGGGATGTCTGCGCTCCTTGGATTGGTTCGGCAGTGTCGTGTTTGCCGTCAGTGGGTCGTTGACTGCTGCAACGGCGGGATGTGACCTGCTGGGGTGCACACTTGTTGGCACGATCACGGCGGTAGGCGGCGGTACTCTGCGTGACGCGTTGGTGCTGAACAAGCAACCATTTTGGATCGAAGAATGGGAGTACTTGGTGTTCAGCGGTGCCGCGGCCGCCGGGGCGTTTTACTTGTGGGGCCAGCTCCCTGCCGGGGAAGAGGTCGCGCCCGGGACTGGTTTGACGCTCAAGGCTGCTGACGGTGGCGAAGGCACCCTGATGGACTGGGGAGATGCCATCGGAGTCGGCGCGTTTGCAGTGATTGGCGCTATGAACGGCATTCGGGCTCAAGCCCCGCTCCTCGTTTCCGCTCTCTGCGGAATGATGACATCCACATTTGGTGGAATGACTCGAGACACACTCCTCAACCGACCGGTGCGCATCCTGCACCCGTACGCCGACACGTACGCGCCGATTGCGTTCACAGGCGCTGCAGCGTACTTGGCCATGCGCGCAGTCGCTCCACAGTACCAAGGTGTGCGCATCGTGTCGTGCGTGGCGCTCGCGGTCGTTCTGCGGCAACAAGCGTGGACGAATGGATGGCGCCTGCCGCATTGGGATTGTAAGGACCTTGGTGTTGTCGTGCAGTCCACACAAGATCCCCGAAAGGACGCGCTTAAGCTTGTGGAGCATTAGATAGATGCCGAGATCGAATCGAACGTTGCATGGGATGCTACCCTTGAGGTGTTTCCATGATGCCGAAGTAGCTCGGGAGCATCTCTTTTGTCTCGACCGCAGACTCATTCCATGGTGTTAAGTGTGTTCTGTATCAATCGTTCTTGCGGTGTTTTGTGTTGGATCGCATGCAACGTTAGCGGACAAACTGCGGCAAAGATCTCCGCTCCTTCCTGATGTGTACAACGTGAGCAAGCAATGATTTGCCAAAAGGTTTGGATGTGCGTATCTCCGAATTCCAGAAACACCTGCGCAGCGCAACATGCTAGCATTCAAGCACAAGACCATGACATGGGCATTCCCAACCTGCTTGTCAACACCTTCACTTCGGCTTGTCCTTTCC